ATACATTAAAATATATAAAATGTAGCTATTCTGGTGTGGCACTGTAGGATTAAGTACAGGACCACCAAGGTCAGTGGTTCAAACTCCGCAGTTGCTCTTCAGAAACTCTATATTGGGTCACTATGAGTTGGAACTGACTCCATGGCACTTAACAATTGTAAATCTGGACAAAGTGAAAATAGAACTGTGAAGTAAGGAGATGGAGCGAGAGTGGCACAAAAGCTCTGCTTTTACCTTATCCACTGGAGGACCAAGAAAGACCACCACAAACCCAAGGCTTCTCTATAATATGCAGTTAAAGTCAAAAGGATAATCACCATGAAAACTACAATCACAAACTGTTAAGTGTGGTTCCCCTGTAGACCTGAAGGTGAGGTGGTTGCTGCTGTGAAGTGCCATCAAGTCGGTTCCGATCCATAGCAACCCTGTATACAGTTTCCGAGAAGCAGCTGGTGAGCTTGAACTGCTGACCTTGCAGTTCAAACAGCTTTGCAGTCTGGCTCATTAACCCACTGCACCACACCAGGAAGGTGAGGTAAGGATTACTTTTTAATAACGAATTCTTACAGAATAGAATTAACAATACATGTATGTTACTTTTATATGTTTTTAAAAAAATTAAATTCTTATAAATAATGAGGAATGGATTGGAATCTACCCTGTCAAGCTGAGACTCAAAAAGTTGTGGTCTGAAGGCCTGAGTTAACTTTTTATTTGGCAGTCCATCTATGTATCAGCCAGGCTTCTACAGAGAAAAAGAATTAACAGGTGGCGCTGTGGGCTAATGCGTCAGACTGTAAAGTCATTTGAACTGCAAGGTTGGTGGTTCAAGCTCACCAGCTGCTCCTTGGAAACCCTATAGAGCGTCGCTATGGGTCAGAATCAAACTAATGGCATTTAATAACAACATATCTCTCTGTGGAGTCCTGGTGTGGCAGTGCTGTAGGATAAAGCACTAGACTGCAAGGTTGGCTTGAACTGCAAGGTTGGTGGTCCAAACCCACCAGCTGCTCCTTGGAAGCCCTATACAGGTTGGCTATGAGTCAGAGCTGACTCGATGGCACTCAACATATCTATCTGTAACTGTAAAAATGGAATGGAGTCAGAGGTCCTTCAGCTTAATGAGAGAAAATACAATTACCATCATCAGCTCAAGACTGATTCCTCAGACATTTCTTCACTTTACAACCTTTTTACCAACTCTGACATCAGCTGTCCCACCCATAGCACTGAGTCTTTGCTAGTTTTGGTCATTGTGTTGTAATGGCCATGCAGAATTTACAGACCATACTCATGATTATGGGGTTTCTTAGGGAAGTAATCAACACAACTCAGTTTCAGGAAGCAGATAGGTAGTCTGAAAGGCTCTCTGAAGTGGAAAGCATAGCCCTCCTTTAACTCCTCCTGGTTGTGCAAGCAGGCAGGTCCTTCTCTGTTGTGTGCACTCCTCCTCAGCCATGTGGGCCTCCTCTTGGACCCCTGAGGGCAGGTTCCCCTAGGCTTTGGCCTCTGTCCAGCTCTTACAAGTGTTACAGAACTCTTTAACTTTGCTGATTAGTGCGCGGATGCACCCCACTCCATCAGGAACCCTCCTGCTTGAAGGTACTCAATTCTTTCACTCGGTGGATTGGCAAGCCTTGCCTTCCAGTCCTGTGCTGCTGCTGTCTTCAGTGTTACTCCTGGGTGTAGGAAGTTTTGAGTGCAGGCACTCTGGTCTGAAAGACGTGATTCCTCCTGGCAATTAGCCTGGGTGGTAGTGAGAGCTCCCTTTAGCCTCTGGGTTGGCTTTTAAACCTAGCAGGATGGCAAAACTGACCAATCCTCTACAAGGCTTCCACATGTTTTATTTGCACAGTCTACACCCACAAGAGTTCCATTCACTTTATTTGCATAGTTCTACCCAATCATTTTTATGGGAGCCAAGACCATGGTGGCTAGAAGGCCATTATTAAAGCAATTCACGGCACCATATAACGTTAGAGAAGAAATTTAATTAGTTCATGCAATTGTGATGGTGGTTATGTGCCACTGAGTCAATTCCAATTCATAACGAATCTTTATAGGATTTCTGAGGCTGCTGATTTTCACAGGAGCAGAAAGCCTACTCTTTTTTCCTGTGGAGTGACTGGTAGATTTGAACTGCTGACCTTGCGGCTAGCAGCCCTGCTCGTCATCCACTATGCTACCAGAGTTCCTTCAGGTAATTTTTAAGTGCCATTGAGTCAGTTTCAACTCATAGTGACCCAGTATAGAGTTTCCAAGGAGCAGCTGGTGAGTTTGAACTACTGACTTTGTGGTCCTACACTTATCCTACAGTGCCACACCAGGATGCAGGCAATGGTAAGGACTGGCAAATCCAAAATTTGTAAGGCAGGCAGACTGGAAATTGGCAGTATTATCTATCTGTTATACTCTTCTGTGTCCTTTTAGAAACCTGTTTTTGCTCTTAAGGCCTTCAACAGATTGAACTTGTAGAGAGTCATCCCTTTACTTAGATTCAACAGAATACCTTCAGAGCAACATCTAGTGTCTGACCAAACAATGGAGCCTAGCTAAAGTGACACATAAAATTAGCCATCACAATCTGAAAGCATGAACAGGGGAAGATGTTCAAGATAAACTGTTGTGTGGGGGAAAAAAACATCTTCATACGACAAAGTTGTTGTTGTTGTTAAGTGCCATCGAGTCGGTTCTGACCCATAGCGACCCTGTACAGGGTTTCCGAGGGTGTAAATCTTTACGGGAGTAGAAAGCCTCATCTTTCTCCCGCAGAGCGGCTGGTAGTTTCGAACCACTGACCTTAAGGTTCGCAGCCCGATTCGTAACCACTACGCTAGACATACACATATCACTGCAGGGCCTTTGCTTTGGGAAGTGGGAATAAAAAGTGTCGGGAACATTTTCACAATTTATTTACTTTTGTTGCTGAATGCCTTACCATAAGCATACAAGTGTGGGAAAAAGAGGTTTGGAAGCTTGCTACTACTATTACTGCACTGAGCTATGAAATGGTTTCATATCATTTTGAAATGATATTTTGGGTTGAGATAGTTATCAACCCAATCAATGACTGGCAATGATGTTGTAGAACGGCAACGTAGATACAGAGTGATTTACACAGAAAGATGTTCCTTCAGTCACGATCCTGCATTTGGGAGGCCTCAAAGAATTTGGATTTTGCTAGAACTGAAAACTGTCCAGGGTCCTGTGTGTTGCTGAGCACACTTTTCTGAAATCAGAGCAGCTGGAACCTGAAATCCTGCTCTGCCACCACTCTGCTGCACTTCCAGTCCCTTCTCCCGCATTCTGGTGTCATTACAAGCCTTACGCGAGGCCACGGCATGCGCAGGCTGAGGAGCGGGGAAAGCAGACTAAAAGCAGCAGCACAGCTTGCTCTGCGTGGTGACGCAACAAAGCCTATGCTGGGAGAGAACAGATCTTTCTTGAAGCAAATTTTTAACAGGTTATCTCTGGAAAGGTGCAGCTGTGAATAATGACTCTTATTCTAATAAGTTAAACATTCATAAAATGCTAGGGCAGTGCCTACCTATAAAAAGGTTATTAAAAAGACCAGGCTTATTGGTCAGATAGAGACTGGTGGAACCCTCAACACTATGGTGCATAGTTGCCCTTCAGTTCTGGAACTGAGCTCACCTTGTGTGGCTCAGTTTTCAATCAAACAAAAGGCAGGTCTATATAGGGAACAATAACACTGGGGAGGTACAAACTCCTTGGAATAATCAACCATTTGGGATCCAAAGGGCAGCATTTACTCAAGGATAAAGTTAAGGACCTTAGGAAAGAAGGAATGGAGATAAGAAACACAGGGAGTGGGCCAAGTGATGTCACATTATGGCGATTACATTTAATGAGATGAAACAAAGAGTGAATTGTTGAATGGGAACCTGATATGGTCTGTAAACCTTTACCCAATTCAAAACAAAGAATAAATAAAAACATGTCAAAATAAATCTGTGTTTTCATGATTGCCTACAGTAAACACATATTACTTATTAACTGTTGTTAAATGCCATCAAGTCATTTCCTGTATATACTTATATAATTAATGTTGTTAAGTTGGTTAATGTTAATTCGAGTTAGTTCTGACTTATAGTGACCCTGTATAGGCTTTCCAAGGAGCGGCTCATGAGCTTGAACCATTGACCTTGTGGTCCAGTGCTTGATCCCACAGTGCCACACCAGGACTCCACTTATGTAATGCTGTTGTTGTTGTTAAGTGTGGTCGAGTCAGATATTATAGATAACAGTAATTTAGAAAAGACTTCGGACTCCACTAAAGTTAATGGAAAAAGAGAAGTCCTTTTTTGAAACTCAACAAGACTGAGGGCAAATGATCCAGGGAAAGGAGTCTAAGGAAAGAGCCAAGATTGACTCCCAAGGGCTAAGGATAGGCTTGGCTGACCACGTGAAATAAACTCACAGAGTGTTGTTTGCAAGGCCCAGGAGGGCTGCGTCTGTGGAGAGATGGGAATATTCCCTTCTCAAACTGGGGAGCACACAGGCCATGACCTGATTTTTGGAGTCAAATCTTTATTTGACAAAGTTCCTTCCTGAGAATTCACCCATATGAGTAAAACCTGTGTCCAGCATCCTGTCTCCAAAAGCATCTCTAGTCAGAAAACGGGGAGCCAAGAAGCCCCTTCCCACCTCTGCTGCTTCAGTGTAGTGAAGGAGACGGTCAATGGAAGGGCTGACCACAGGACTGCCAAGGCCCTTGGGGCTGCTCCCTGCTCCTGAGTGCAAAGCAGCAGTAGGAACAGGACCAAGAGGCTGGGACACCTCAGAGCCCCAGGTGCCGGGCTGCAGAGATCTGTACAGGAAGGAGGGGGAGGGTACCTGGAGGTCAAGATTCCAAGGTCTGTGGTCCGGTCTCAGCTCCTCTGGAACCTGGGGGCAGCAGGGGTCTGGGGCTGTCTTTATCCCCTCGCAGTCCCAAACTGGCCCGGCTAGGAGGGGAAGCCGTGCACAAGGAAGAGCTGTCACCGCCCTTCAAACTGGGCTGTGATTTGTTCCAAAGTCTTCCCTTTGGTTTCGGGGACACAGAACACAGTGAAGAGGATGCTGAAGCAGCAGAAGGCAGAAGCGAGCCAGAAGGCACCATAGGGCCTGAGGAGCTCCTGCAGAGAGAGGGGCATAGCCATGTGTGGACAACCAGGGCTGGACTTACCCTGCATAGCCCATGATTCTGCCGCCTCTGTCTCCACTGAGCCTGGGGGAAGTGGAGCAAGAGCAGGTGTAGCAGTCTGGTGGCCTGGGTCAACCATGCTCAAAGTGTGGATGTTCTGTGGCTGCGGGGACCAAGGCTCACAGCAACCTCCAAGGTCAGAGACCCATTACATGACAGCTGGGCTCTAGCCTGTCTGCCCACCCTCTGCGGTCTCTCTTAATGGCGTGGACTCTCAGCAGGTGAGATGGGCTGAGTGAAGTCCCAAAGCACACACTCATGGGGGAGGGGTGGGCCTGCCCCACCCCAACCCCAACCCGAGGCCATTCCAGTGCTAGAACCAAAGCCCTTCTCAGACATGGCTCACGGTGAGCCCCTTCTCCTATCTCCTTCTTGGCTTCTTTTCCTTCCCCCTCGTTCATCCTTCTCTTCCCAGTCCTTGGCCCTGGTCTTTCTGATGTGCTCCCCCGGCCAGCCCTGCCTGAGGGATATCCAGGTCTTTCCCTGAGCCTGCCTCCCAGCATCCTTGCCCAGCTTCCTGCAATTCACACACCCCACCACTTGTCTATCATCTGAGACCCTGCCCAACTCCTTCATTGCCTGCCTTGAAGAGTGTGCAGATATGGCATGTGCCAGGAGACCTGCGGGCCATAAAGAGCTGAACAAATGCCTCTAAACCATTCCTCACTGACTGGGAAGCTTGGGGGCTAGATCATGTTGATGCTCCCATCAATCCTAGGAGGACTTCCTGCCAAGCAAACTGGCCAAGAAGGTAAGCAGTATGCCCAAGATCACAGAGTGAGAAGTGACTGAGTGAGGTGTGGCTGGATAGTCCAGGCCGGTTGACTCTAAAGTTCAAGCTCTTCCCTGCAGACCTGTGTGCACGACCTCTACCACGATGGCCCCAAACACGAGACAGTGGGTGCAGCCTGGGTTCCTTGTCGGCCCTGGCCCATCTGTCTCCACCTCACCCCGACTGAGTGAGGCTGCCGGTCTCCCAGGTGTGGGCCTGCACACAAGGAGTCTCTTGCAACAAGAACCATTTTAAGAAGTGGTTCTTGGCAGACTTTATTGGGGGTGGGGGACAGACGGCCATTGAGGTCTGGACTCACCATGAGGCTGCTGAATTCCTTGGTCACTAGGAAGGCCATGAGCCAGTTGGTGAGGACACAGACGCCAGTGGCCACACCCTTAACGTGCAGAGGGAAGATTTCTGACATAAGGAGCCAGGGGATGGGCCCCCAGCCCAGGGCAAAGCCTGAGGGAGCAAAAGAGGTGTCAGAACCTACAGGGCAGGACACCTCATGGTCCACTTGGCCCAAGACCCCCGCTAAGGCCTCACAGGGCAGCAGTCTGGGTCTCCAGGGACCCTGGATTTCATCTGGTCCCATTAGCTTTGTGCCTTCTTGCTGTGGGGCCTTGGACCAGTCACTCACTTTTTGTGCATCAGGTTTTTTACTCTATAAAATAGGATAATGATGGGGCCTGCTCATAGGGTTGTTGGGGATTAAGCAAAACGAACACAAACAAACAGAGGGTTTTTGATTCAGTGTCAAGGCTGGGTAAGACTGGACCCTTGGGAGCTGCAGGGACCCAGTGAGGGACAGTAACCCTCCTCCCCCAGCCTCTCTGAGGGCCCCCTCTCACCAGCGATGAAAATACACATGCTTCCCACAGCCAACCAGGCCAGCCCTGCACTGGTACCGAGATGCTCCAAGGAGATGGGCATGGAGAAGAAGTCCATGTGAGAGGAGTTGTTGGGGCCACCCTGGGCCAACTTGAAGTAGGCACCAAAGGTGCTAGCACTCAACACCATGATCATACCTGCAGGTGGAGGGTAGGGGCTGGGCTGGGCAGGGTGCTGGGTGATGCTGCTTCCCCTCCCTACCACCCACCTGCCAGATCCTCTTGGGGGTGAGGAAGGAAATGGCCCACAGGCTGGGCATATGGCATTCAGTGAGAGTTCCAGAGTGCCTCATGACCACGGCAACATGGCCCAGATGCCTATGAGAGGGGTACATCTGGCTCACCAAGCAGCTAGGGTGGCAGTGCCCTGAAAGCTCAGCATGCTATTCTAGCACGTTGGCCTTGGGACCCCTGACTGAGCAGCTACTCCATCACCTCTGCTTGAACCTCAAACCTTAGCAAACTCCAAGCAATTCCATGACACAGAGCCTCCCTGGCCAGTGAGAGTAGTGTTTTAACCTCCATTCACAGCGGTAATCTTAACGGCTGGCACACACTGGCACTCTGTGAGGCAAAGCACAATCACACTGAGGGAGACACGACCATGATCCACTTTTTCCAAACAGGGAAGCTGAGACTGAAGCTCAGAGAAGTAAAGTTACTTGCCTACAAAGCCCACAAGTCTCACTTTGCTTGCTGGTCCTCAGTTTCCGCACTGTGAAATGGGGGCTGTGACATGCTGCCTTAGGGACTCATCAGGAAAGTTAAGTACCTAAATGTTAAACCAAGCTGCTCAATGCTAACATCATAGCTCTTCAGTCTCCCAGCTTGCACTGCTGGACACTCGACAGTCCTTGTCCACCTGGTAATGTGGTGGCAGCACTGATGCTTGCACAGGGCTGGGCCCTTCCTGTCAGGCCTCACCTGATAAGACTAGCAGCAGCCTCCGTCCAGCTCTGTCCATGATGAGTGCGGCCACAGCAGTGAGCAGCACCTGGATGACGCCCACGATGACTGAGGCCAGGTTGCTGTCCTGGGGGCAGATGGGGGTCATGGCTGTCAGATGGGCCGGCCAAAGAGGGTCCCTCCCTCTCAACCCTCTGCTTACATCCCAGCTTTGGTGAGGAAGCACCACTCACATGTAGTAGATTGATGAGGTGGAGGCCGACTTACCTTGAACTTGGCCTTCTCAAAGATGGTCTCAGCATAAAACATGACGGCGTTGATCCCTGACAGCTGCTGGAAGGCCATCAGGGAAACGCCAATGAGGAAGGGCTTGTAGACCCCGGGCTGCCTCAGCTGGGCCAGGTGGAAGCCCTGCTTGGAGAGAGACCAGGTCATCAGTGGTTTCTCCACCCTCTCATGGTCCTAGGCCCATAGACAAGCTCTAGCATCACTGTGGTCTTTCCCTGTTTGTACTGAAAGCCTCACCTGCCCCATCTTTTCCTGAATTGTTGGGAGCATACTGTAAAGTTCCATGCATCCGAGCCCCTCTGACCTCTAGGGCATCCAGTCTTTGCCTCCAGACCTGGCCCTATGCTTCTGCTTCCCATGGCCCTTCTCACTGAGGCCCTTTTCATGGCCCTTTTTCACCACCTAAACGCACAGCACGTGCTTTGTGACTCTCACTTAGTAGACAAAGAAACTACAGGTTAAAGATAGGAAGGTCACATAGCAAGTAAGTGGCAGAGTTGGAGGTTCAAACCCAGGTCCGACTCCAAAAATCCAGACTCTTGCCCTAAAATCCTGACCCTGTAGTTCCCCAATTAAGTCCAGGTGCTCAACTAAGCTCAACTAAGTATTTTCCTGACCTTCTCTTCTGGGGACAGTAAGAATAAAGCTCTTCTGGAGACCTGAGGCTAGACCCCGCTGGCCTCTGCCTGCTCACAGACAGGCCAACACTGGGCTTGTCCTTTCCTCATGGAGGGTGGTGGGGTAGGTTCCCCTCCCCCTAAGTGTGCTGCCTTCCCCAGCTGACCCCACTCCCACCCTCCTGCAGCTCGCAGACCCTCACCTGCTGTTCATCCCCAGCAGGTGGCTCTTGCCAACCCTGCTCAGAGCCCCACAGGAACTGCAGGGCGGCCATGGCTTCCTGGTGCTTGTGCTGAGTCAGCAGGAACCGGGGGGTCTCGGGCATGCAGCACATGAGAAGCAGCATGAGTGTGGGGGGCACACAGCCCAGCACCGCCAGCCAGCGCCACTCCAGGAACAAGCCTGCGGGGTGGCAGGTTGTTAGAACCAATCTGAACCACCCCAGGGTCTCAGTTCAAAAGCTCACTATACTTTTGCATGGCTGCCTTCATTTGTGTTACTGATGTTGTTACTGTTAATAACTATCATTGTCAATAGATGTAGCTATCATGTGACAACGATGTCAACTGTTGTAGAGATGGTGGTGGGCACATAAATTATGCTTTGTTTGTTCCGTGAACTATTTCTGTAGCCCTCAAACAAAGAACGAGTGTTCCCTATAGGGTCGCTGAGTGAAAATGTACCTGAAGGTCAAAGGTTTCCTATGTATAATGTCGTTAATGTGGCACCACATGTGTGAAGGTAGGGAATGGAGAGAATAGGCACATACATCCCTGATATAGGCCCAGACTCTCCCTGGAACCATATGGGGGAACACTGGCTTCTCCAGAGAGGTGGAGGGCAGAGGTATGGGAAGGCTTTTTACTGACTACTTCTTGTACTTGGGAGTCCCTGGGTGCAGCAAATGGTAAACATGCTCAATTGCTAACGAAAAGGCTGGAGGTTTCAGCCCACTCAGAGATGCTTCTGAAGAAGGCCTGATCTACTTCCAGAATATCAGTCACTGAAAACCCTGTGCAACAGACAGCCCGACAAAGGGAACAATAGCACCTTTTAGAACTATCAGCCATACACGATCAAAAGGGCAGCCCAGGGATAAAGCTCAGAAGGCTGGCAAGGCAGGCTGGACAGGAAAGAAAGCTGAGTGGAAACAGTAAATACAGTGCAAAGTGGGAAGAGCGCTGTCACTCTGTAGGGACTGCAATCATGTCACACGACAAAACGTGTATGAATTGTTGAATGGAAAACTAATTCGCTCTGTAAACTTTCACCCAAATTACAATAAAAAGCTCTACCAACGAACCCTATGGAGCACAGTTGTACTCTGACACACATGGGTCGCCATGAGTCAAAGTCGATTTGATGGCAACTATTCTTTAGTTTTTAATTTTCTTGAGTATTGGATCATTTGGATGTACATCGAATCAATGAAATAAAATTTAAAAATAAAGGGGTGGTAGGATTTTATTAAGGAACTCTGGTAGTGTAGCGGTTATGAATCAGGCTGAGAACCGCAAGGTCAAAAGTTAGAAACTACCCATTTCTCTGCGGGAGAAAGATGAGGCTTTCTGCTCCCGTAAAGATTTACAGCCTTGGAAACCCTGTGCAGCGTCGCTATGAATTGGAACAGACTCCACGGCACACAGCCACCACCAGTATTTTGTTATTATGAAGAGCTATATGAAGAATACTACAAACTCAGAATTACCTAAAATTATATAAAATGGAAAGGTCATCTGACAAAGGGACCCAGGAATAAATGAATTTAGGCCCAAAAGGCTCATTTGTAACCCAGACCCCAAGAAAAACAACAACTCTGTTCTAGCTAGGAAGTACCTGTTTCAGAGCGGTGGGGGAAAGTACAGGAAACGTGCATGCATTTGCTTTAACAGTAAGGTGCAGGTAACTCGATTATTCCATAGTCTCGTCATGGGAGCTTAATGGTCCCCACTCTGCTCAAGTGTCTCTACCATGCCACTCTGAGGAATAAACAGCTCACACCAGCAGGTCAAAACTCAGAATTTGATCAATAAAAGATGGGTGGAGCAACAAGGACAAATTCAGATCAACTGGAGTTAATTGCTAACACATAAACACTCAATGTCTTTCCCCAAACATGTCTGTCACCCAGTAGCAGTGGCTCTGGCATCCTGCTGGGCTTCCCCAAATAGCCAATGCTGGCAGGATTGTGAATTAGAGTCAATATGGTAAGTAGATAAAGTGAAACACCAGCGCTGCGTACTGCTCCTATAGAGAACCAGAAGATGTGCACAGGGTCAGACACAACCCATCAGGTCTAGAGCCCCCATAGCTCTTGGGCCAATCCCTGACAGTTCTTTCTTGGGGCCTGCCACCTGGTACTTTTTATGTGTCACTCTATCAACTATGTGTGGTTATTTCTACTTACAGACAGGGAAACAACCTCCCAGGGGTGGTGTGACTTGGCCAAGGTCACACAGTAAGTAGCAGAAACTGTCTCCAAACCTAGGACTGTTGAATTTGAAGTCTGTCATTTTGTGGTGAGAACACATCTGCCTCCTGAAGCTACCCCGTGAGGCCCCGGTTCTCCCCTCAAGGTCCCCAGGAATCTGCCTTCTTCACATCAACTTGCTGGGCGCTGTGAAGCCAGCACTGACATTTTCCAGCAAGACACACTCAAGACTTTCAAGCTCCTGTGTTGACAATTTCTCGATTTCCTCCCCTCTGAATCCGCTGATATGTGCATACTCAGTAAGGTACTGACCAAACCAGTTAGTCCTTGCCACACTCTGCCCTCAGCGGGCTTCTGCCTTTAGAGGATGAACTCTCCTGGAACTCAGTAACAAGACCCCATGCACTCCAAAATCCCAGAGAGGCAGTACACCTTGGCTACTGACAGTGTGACCTTAGGCAAGTTCCTTGACCTCTCTGAACAGCAGTTTCTGTATCTGTAAAATGACCACTTGGCTATTTGCAAGGCTCAAAAGACAGAACCTAAAATACTGTACCTGCCAGGTAGGCTAAAAGGATGCCTGTGACGACCATCAGCTGCACACAGGAACCGAGCAGTCCCCGGATTGCTGGGTAGGCAATTTCGGAGATATAGACCTGTCAGAAGTGAGGAGATGCCTAAGAAGCTCATAAAGGTCAAAAGTCTCAGCTGCCCAGAGCTGGGAGAGCCCTGTTTGGGGGTTGTGCAGGCCCTGCAAGCCCTTCATCACATAGTCCCAAGTTAAGTGCCCTCCCCACGAAGTAACTGAAGTTATGTATTTGGCTGCTGTGTGTGAGGAGAAGGCACAGCACTTCTCAAGCTTTCATGTGGGAATCCCCCCTTGATGTCAATTCTGATTGAGTAGGTCTGGGGTGGGGCTGCAGAGTTTGCTGGCCCACAGACCACATATCCTTGTTGTAAAATCAGGAACTTTCAGCCACATCTCTACCAGGGCTGTCAGCACCCCCTCTGAAATCAGGGGCCACCAGGGCCTTGTTCACACTCCTAGGTTACTCTCCATACCATAGGCCCATGAGGAGCCCTGGTGGCTCAGTGGCTAAGGTGCTCAGCTGCTAAATGAAGGGTGAGTAGTTTGAACCCACCAGCCACTCTGCTTTGAACCCACCAACCAGTCTGCTTCCATATAGATTTATAGCCTTGGGAAGCCCGTGAGACAGTTCTATTTTGCCATATAGGCTTTCCATGCCTTGGAATCAACTTCTCAGCACTGGGCTTTTTTTCTTTTTTTGGAGGTGGGGGTTGAGGAGTGGGAGAGGTTAGGCTCCTGACCTGAACAGGTTTGTTTTGGCCTAGGGATGGGGGAATTCCATCTTAGTTGTGGACCAGTGAATGCAGGCGAAGGGAGTTGGAGAAGCAAAGTGCTGAACAGGGATATTCTGAGCCACTGTTGTCTCATCTTAACCAGGTTGGGGTGGAGATGGTTCTTTCTCCAAGCCCACAGCAGTAGTCCACAGTAAAAGACTCAGGGCTAGGGGCCAAGTACTTCCACAAGCAGTATGTGCAAAGTTCCATAGAAGCCTCATAGCCATTATCCCCATTTTACAGAGGAAACAGGATCCAACAGAGGGCCCAGGTGTGTGCAGATCCAAAGTTCTGCCAAGGAGCACCAAATCAGCTGAGGTGCTATTTTGTGAGCAGGGACGGAGGGTAGTAGACATTAGCAGCCGTTACTCTCCAGACAAACCCAAACTCACATCTTTTATGGTCCAGAAATTAGAAGAGGGTTTTTCTGCTGTCTGTGGTCTGAATGATGGGGAGACTCATTCATTATGTGCAAACCAATAGGAGGCACAGTTAAGCTGGCCAATCTTGGACTCAAGTAATCGCTTCACCACTGATTAGCTGTGGCCCCTGGCTAGGGAAAGGTCTTCCCGTTTCTGAGGTTGTTTCATCTGTAAAACGGGGGTAACAACAGCTGGTTCGTTTCAGGGGCTGTAGTTAGGACATGGGGCATGGTTTCTGGCATCGGGAGGCTTTATAATCTTTGGGACCACAGCCAAGGAGAGCCACGTCCCAGGTCTAGGAGCTGTCTGTCCTACTCCCTTTCTTAGGCTACAGAGCGCTTGGCAGGTGGACACTCACCGGGGCCACTAGCGAGGCAATGCCGCAGGCCAAACCGGTGAGGAAGCGGCCCCCGAGTAGCATCCACACGTCCTGGGCCGAGGTGATGACTTCAAAGCCGGCCACGAAGGGCACGGTGCAGAACAGGAGGCTAAATTTGCGCCCAGCGCGGTCCACCAGCCAGCCGCCCAGCAGGCCCCCGGCCGCGGCACCCAGGGTCACGATGGCCTGGGAGGCAGGCGGACCGCGGGCTGAGGAGGGAGCCCAAGCTCACCCTCTACCCCGCAGCATCCTCAGAGGGAAGGGGCTGGGGGACCTGGGCGGGAGGTTCCAGCGCCCACCCGAGGGGGTCGAGGAGGAGGGTCCCAGGACCGGATCTCACCCCGAACCAGGAGGCGGAGGCATCGTCGAGGCGCAGGGCTGGGGGCGCGGTGCGCCGCAGGCTCGGGATGGCCGGGGAGCTGTAGCCGAGCGCGAAGCCGAAGCTCAGCGGGCCCAGAGCAGCTGCAAAAGCCGCGACGAAGACTCCGCGGCCCCGGGGGATGCTGCGGGGACAAGGCCGTGAGCGGAGCGAGGGAGAGGGGCAGGGAGCGAGGCTGCGCCCTTGGCCCCAGGTGCCACTGCCCTCTCACCTGCTGCCCGGCGGCCCCAGGAGCGGCTGCCTCTCCTCCTGGTCCTCAGGCGTCATATCTGTACCCAACGCTTGTTCGGACAGCTCAGAATGCTGAACCGCCACAGATCCCGCGAGTGTGGCCGGCACCGGCCTCTCATAACTGACCAATGGACAGTGAGGAGTGACTCTAGGGCGGGGCCGGAAACTTCCGGGAATAGCAGAGCGGCCAATGGAAATGCAAGGCATTCTAGGGACTCTACACTAGGGACCGCCCTTCAAATAAAATAGACCAATGGCTGTTCTATAAACTGAAACTGACCCCAGAACTACCCAATGTACCGGCGGGGCGGAATTTGCATGCTGGAGAACAACCATCCAATGGGATTGTGGTGTGATTCCGGAATGGGGGTCAGAAATTTGTCTCAAAGCTGTGTGGGCCAACGAGAGTGGGCGGGAGTTGGGGTGGGGTTGCGTTTGGCTTGGAGCCGCCTCCATCTACCTTCAACTACTAGGGTAAGGGCCTGGGTTAAGGCAGAGCATGTGCTCTCTGATTTAGAACAGACCACGCGGATTCCGGCGTCTGCTACCGTCTTGTCAGCAAATTCTGCGTTGTGTTTATCACTGCCCCGGGGCCTAGGCGTAGTCCCAACCCTGCTCCCTGGGAGCTGCAAGGCAGAAGGTCTCCAAACGTCCTCCTGGTTTGTCTACTTCCTCTAGGACATAGGGACTGACCCAGCGTTCTTGCCACTTTGCCCAGTACAAAGTCATGATCCTGAGAGCCTGAGCTCAGCCCGGGCACCTCCACTACTTGGGGTTTCTCCTATAGTTGAAGGCTACTTAGGTGACGATGACTGAGGTTTTCAGGTGTTCACTAGTGTTAGCTGGAGACCCCCGTGCAGTATTTGTGTGGCCTAAATGGTGGATTCCACGATCCCTGTTAAATCCCACTCACTTCACAGGTAAACTTGATTCATGAGTCTCCATTTTACTACCTCCCAACTTTGAGTATCCAGCTGATTTTTTTTTTTTTTTAAGTTTTTATTGTGAATTATGTCGGTTTACATGGAAGAACATCAGTTTTATATTCATCCTATTTCATTCCATTGCAATGATTACAATCACCTCCATGCATCATCAAATAACCAAAGGGTACACCCCACTTCTAGCCTTCATAGCCCCCCTCCTCACTTTGGGTAGCTAATGTTCAAGTTACCCATATCCTGTCAACCATGTGTACCAAGGGGTTGGGAGTGATCCTTGCTGTAAAGATTTGTTCCCTATTTTGTACTACTACATACATGTTGTTGTTGTTGTTAAGTGCCATCGAGTCGGTTCCATGTTAAGTGCTGTCAAATCAATTCCGAACCATAGCGACCCTGTACAGGGTTTCTGAGGCTGTAAATCTTTACGGGAGCAGAAAGCCTCATCTTTCTCCTGTGGAACAGCTGGTAGTTTCAAACTGCTGACCTTGAAGTTTGCAGCCTGATTCCTAACCACTACGCTACCAGAGCTCCTTTATATGTATAGGTTGTTGTTGTTGTTGTTGTTGAGT